GATGAGTAGTATCTTTCTCTGTAAAAGGGGTAAACTCCTCAAGCTCATTATTCCTCAGATGTGATGCAAACTCATCATTTGTATTGGGTTAGCCAAAAAGTCCATTACGTTTTCTCAGAATGATGGCTCTAGTAGTGCTTAGTTGTCTTTAACTTCATCCAAAACAATTTTGTTAGACTGTATTGTGACAGTTGTCATATCAGAATGCATTAAAAAAACTTATAAAAATTGGTGAATTTTTGTGCAGCCATTTTAATATTGAAGGTGGAAGAAGATATGCAACATTTTCGGCATGCTATGCTTTATTATCTGAAAGTTAAAAACACAACTGAAATGCAAAAAAAAGGTTTGTGCAGTGTATGGAGAAGGTGCTGCGACTCACCGAATGTGTCAAAAGTGGTTTGCGAAGTTTCCTGATACTATTGACATTCTGACCAAAGAATTCTTTGCTGTGGGGCTGTCTTATGCATTGGAAGATATTTAGCAGCACCCCTGGCCTCTACCCACTAGTGGGAGATAGCTGACATACTCAAAATATCCAAATCAATAAAGTTATTAGTGAAAATGAAAAGTATATCCTTTATTTTATAGGAAAAAATTAATGGAATTTTTGGCCAACTCAATAAAATATCCACAATAAAACCTTCCCTGTTGCCGCTGTAAGACAAATAAGGCAGAGGCTGGAGGAAGTGACATAATATGATGTTCATGTGGCTGCATCATGAATAATATTAAGTCCTTAGTCTCTGACCCAGGAATCTTGTCTTCTGCAAGCTCCATGAAGTAGTAACAGGCAAACTTGTGAGCGTGGAAGGTAAAATTCCAGATCCTTCACAATTTTGACAGCACAGAGCAATACATAATTAGAACATATACCACATGTCTTTTCTGTGTTTACTTTTTGCCTCATTGAGTGTCATTCTAAATATTTTCTTCTGACCTGTATTCCAATTCACTAATTCTTCATTTTGGTCTTATTTGCTGCTAAACCGTCTCTAATGTGTTCATTTTTAAGGTATGATGTTTTTCAGTTTAAGAATTTCCATCTGGTTCTTCTTTTAAATTTTCAGTTCTCCAATGATGTTCTCAATCCTATCTTTCTTTTTAGCAGTGTAATTACATTTATTTTAAAATCCATGCATAATAATTCTATTATTAGGGTCCCTTGAGGATATTTCTATTATATTATTCCCTATTCATTTTTGATCATTGTCTTCCCCTCATATGCCTTTTTATTTTTAATTCAGTGTTTGATACTGCATATGAAAAATTTAGAGGTAATTTGAGACTTAGGGTCATGTCACTTTCCTCCAAAGAGGACTAATATTTACTTCTAGCAGGCGACTGGAGGCACTAAAGTCACAGATCACCTTAATCTAATCACCAACGGAGATATTCCCATGCTGGGATTCATTTCTAAGGTACAGCACCTTGGGGTTCCCAACTTAAGAACTGACAATCTCCAAACCTTGGTGGGCTATAAACACCTGTTTTGTTTTTCTAGCCTTAAGTGTTCATCAAAATTTCTGCTCAGCTTATCATCTACCCTTCTCAGAATCAACAGATGCTAAGCAGAAAAGTTGCCTGAAAAAGCAACTTACCTAACTGTTTTAATAGCATTATGATATACTCAAACACATCTTTCATCTTCTGCCAGTATTTATAATGTTTTTTATTTGGATTATTAATCCAAACTTATCAAACATTAACAAAAGTAGAACTTCTCCAAAAACAGATTTAATGTGATTAATATTTAAAGGTTTTAGAAATTCTGTGTTTTCATTTTCTCCATTTGGGCCAGACATAACATGCTTCCTTTTAAAATAAGCATTCTACCAAACATTTTTAAAGATGACGTGTATTATCAAGTAAACCAAAAGGATATACTTTTAGTTAATTGTGCAACAGTTTATGTAAACATGGCTTGTCTCCTTGCACAACCACATCAAAATTAAAACTAAATTATAGAGCCTCCAGAAATTGAGTTGAATGGAAATCTGACAACAATGGAAAAAGAAACCACATCCATCTGAACTGGTAGGAAGGGTAGTCCTACATCCATGTGTGGTGGATAAATATTTGGGAAGGATATCTCGGGAGCGAGGAGTCCCAGCCCCACACCAGGCCCTCCTGCCAAGGGTTACAGTGCAAGGATGGTAAGTAGCCGTAACTTCTGGCTGCAAAAAACTCACTCTTTCTGAGTTCCAGCACTGGCACAGAAGCTTGAAAGGCACCAGTGACATACAGGGAGGAACTGAAGTGTCTTGGCATCAGGTAGAGAGATGGGAGACAGCTTTGTCCCAGCAAGAGGACATTGTCCCTTTTCTGAACCCTCTCCCCACAGAGCCAGTAGGCAGGCAGGTGGTATATCTGAGATTCCATCAACATGACTAACACAGTTTGCCCTGCCCTAGAGATCCCCTGAACCCGCGTCCCACCTACCTTATGGTCCTATCCAAACTGTTAACAGTGACTTTTCCAAGACCAGTGGAATGAATGGTCTTGGCTTTTGCTTCACAACTTCCTATATATCCTTTCAAACAAGCAAGAGCTGGCCTCAGTGAGCCCCTAGCCCTTGAACCTCTCATTAAGTGGTACCAGGCACAGCACTAGCAGCAGCTAGCTCAGATTCACAAATTCGCTTTGCCTGGAATCTCCAAGCTAAGCATGAGTAGCAGCCATCTCAGACTGCTTCATAGCTCAGGCAAAGAGGCCCAAGGCAAAATGCAGGTGGAGGCTGACCTTGGCCTGCACCACCCAGGAAACCCTAAGGCTGGTGGGTAACCCTAAGCTACCCAATGGATAGCTACAGAACACAGTGGAGCATAACCACCCTGCCCCTGCACAGCTGACCCTCCACAAACAATGGTGGTTGGTGGTCAGTGATCACAGCCAATCCTTGCAGCTATCAGGCCAAGGTAAATCCCTCTCATTTACTTGCTAATTGTAACCAAGGCTCAACAACAAGAGGAGGGCACACCTCAAGTACCCAGCTTGGGTAAGAGGGGAGGCTGTGCCACTGGACCCTATGGGACACCTACTACACTAGGCCTCACTACCAAGATCCAGAGTCAAAGCAGCTCTACCTAATACACAGAAACAACACAGGGAGGCTGCCAAAATGAGGAGACAAAGAAACGTGGCCCAAAAGAAAGAACAGATCAAAAGTCTAGAAAAAGAACAAAACAAAATGGAGATAAGCAATCTATCAGATGCTGAGTTCAAAACATTGGCTATAAGAATGCTCAAGGGACTTACTTAGCGAGGATGTCAACAGTATAAAATAGACCCAGTCAGAAATTAAGGATACTCTAACTGAAATAAAGAACAATTTATAGGGAAATAGCAGTACAGTGGATGAAGGTGAGAATGGAATCAATGATTTGGGCCATAAGAAAGCAAAAAACAACCAATCAAAGCAACATGAAGAAAAGAGAGTCCCCAAAAATGAGGAGAGTATAAGCAGCCTCTGGGACAACTTCAAGAGGTCCCAGATTCACATCAAAGGGGTGCCAGAAGGGGAAGAGAAACAGCAAGAAATTGGAAATCTATTTGAAAATATAATGAAAGAAAGCTTCCCTAATTTGGTGAAGGAAATAGACATGAAAATCCAGGAAGCACAGAAAGTCCCAAACAAGATGAACCCAGAAAGGCCCACACCACGACCATCATCATTAAAATGCCAAAGGTTAAAGATAAAGAGAGAATCTCAAAAGCAGCAAGCGAAGAGCAGTTAGTTGGTTTCTCAAAAGAAACTTTGCAGGATAGAAGGGACTGGCAAGACATATTCAAAGCCATGAAAAGCAGGGACCTACAGCCAAGATTGCTCTACCTAGCAAAGATAGCATTTAGAATTGAAAAGCAGATAAAGAGCTTCCCAAACAAGAAAAAACTAGGAGTTAATCATCATCGAACCATTCAGGGACTTATTTAATAAAAAGATCAAAACTATGAACCATAAAATGGCAAAAATACATATCTATCAATAATTAAATCTTAAAAAAATTTATGCAAACAAGAACAGAAACAGTCATAAATACAGAGAGAGTTTTGATGGTGTCACATGGGAGGGGGTGTGGGGAAATGGGTGAAGAGAGAAGAGGATTAAGAAGTACAAATAGGTAGTTAGAGAACAGCCATAGGAAGTACAGTATCAGAAACAGAGTAGCCAAAGAACTTATTATACACATGACCCATAAACATGAACAAGGTGTGAGGACTGCCTGAGGGAGTGGGGGGTGCTGGGTGGAGGGGGTGCAAAGGGGGCAACACTGGGACAACTGTAATAGTAGAATTAATAAAATATAATTAAAAAACAAAACAAAAAAGCAATACCTTTACACAATGTCATTTGCGCAAAAACATCTGTAGTAATGAAGACATAACATTTGGAGTGAAAAATTTAAAAATATATTTTTTTAGAAACAGACTCACAGATACAGAGAACAGACTGATGGTTGACAGCGGGGGGGGAAGTTGGGTACTTAGTGAAACAGGAGAAGGGATTAAGAAGTACAAATTGAGAGACAGCAAATAGTCACGGGGATGTAAAATACAACATAGGGAATATAGTCAATGATACTGTAATAACTATGTATGGTTCCAGGGGGGTGCTTGAAATACAGGGTGGATCACGTTGTAAAGTATATGACTATTTAACCACTACGCTGTACAGCTGAAACTAATACAAGATCATTTAAATGTAAACTGTAATTGAAAAATAAAATTCTGAAAAATCAGAAAAAATGTATTTTTAGAAGAAAAAAGTACCAAAGTAATTTCACATTTCAATTCAAAAGAAGAAAAAGTACATCAGCTTCCATATTTCTATATTTCTAATTATGAAATAAAGGGTCATTTATCATGATCTAGTGTTTTTAAAACATGTCAAATATGATAGTTTTTTTCTTATATTCTTTTTCCCTTGGTAAATTATGAGATTTTATAAAGATCCGAAGTCTACTCAACATCTGAAAAATATCATGTCTGCCAACACTTACTGTGAAAAATACGAAAATCAATATATGGATGAGAACCTCTTCTTTCTGATTCAAATCCTGCTCGACTCCTTACACGTACATCTCCTGGACAGAATAAGAAAAAAACTTAAGTTTAGAAGAATGCCATCTGGGTAGACGCTCCCATATGCAAGAAGGGTCTATGTGGTATCATATTCATAAGTAATGGTCCACAATTAATATATCTGGAATAAGTGGTTAAAAGCTGATTTATCTAAATTTTCAGTACTGAGTTGTAAGGCTACATGAAGTTTTTTAAATCTACTCCTACGGTAATGATGATTATGATCTATATTTTAAAGTTAGCCTTTTGAAAGATGACTCAAGTATATGATAATTCAACCTGGTATCTTATTACTCACAAGGAGTTAAAAGAATCCTCATCACAAAATATTAAAAAGCCACAAGAAGCAGCAAATATTTAGGAGGTGTCTACTTTGTACCTGGCACTATACTATAGCTATAGGGAATATGAACAAAGACAAAATATATTACCTATTGTCAAGCAGCCTACAATTTTCTTTAAAGATATAGAAAATTAAGATGTTAAAGATTTTGCTTTGTTTAATTGGATCAATCTCCTCCCAAGGCCTTTGCCTGGCTCTTACAGTTGGACCTTTACAAGCTCAGTGCTTTTTCTACATGTGACCTATGGCGTTTAGATGTACTTTCTCTACACAGCACCAGTGCAAACCAGAGGTCTGGTACTCTTGTTTGTGCCTTATAGGCATTATTCTACTTAATTCTCTAACCAACTCTGACTGAATTTCTATCTTATTTTATAGATGCAGAAACTTGACATTTTGAGAAGTAGCAAGTCCATGCCACAAAGCTAGTATAAAGGGTGAGTCAGGATCTAAGCCTCACTCTGTGGGCCCCGCTATACTTCCATAGCCTCCAGGTTCAAAACCTTTGAGTCTATCAGTGCCTATCCCTACACGCAACTCTACATGCGTCAAAGGCCTTTCTGCCTACTCTTTGTTTCTCTCAGTAAGGCCGTCATTTCTTTCAAGGTTCATGTCATCTACACGAGTCTATCCCACAACTATAAATCACTTCTCTCACATGGTGATTCTTTCACTCTACAATAAATGTTTACTGAGCACCCAACCACACTTTAGGCTCAGGAAATACAGCAGTAAGCAAATACATAAAGTCCCTGTCTTCACGAAGCTTATCCTTTCATGGAGTGAGGCAAATACTAAAACAAACAATTTCATTCTATGAATGATGGCAATAAGTAACATGGAGAAAATTAAAGCAAGGCAAGATGGACAGAAGGGAGAAGCAGAAGAAGGGTGATTCATAGTTCTGGTCAGAGAAGAGGCCTTCTCAAAGGCCTCTCATAACCGAAAGGAGGCCTTTCAGAAGAGACCTGAAGGAAGTGAGGCCGTGAGCCACGTGGCTGTCTGGAGGAAAAGGTTTCCAGGTGTAAGAAAGATCAAGTGTTGCCCAGGGCTGTGTGGCTCAACTGGTTTAAGCATCAGCCTGTGCACCAAAAGGTCATGGGTTTGATTCCTGGTCAGGGCACATACCTAGGTTCGATCCTCAGTCAGGGCACATATGGGAAGCAACTGATAGCTGTTTCTCACTCATATCAATATTTCTCTCTTTCCCACCCTCCGACCTCTGCCGCCTTCTCTTCTTAAAAAAAAAAGAGCAAGTATAAATATCCTTAGATGGGAGCACGTTTAAGGTCATGCAAAGAGGTCACATTGGCTGGAGTGAGGTGAGAGAAGAGGACCAGTGACGTGAGGTTGGAGAGGTAGCGGGGCCAAATCACCCTGGGACTTCCTGGGCCATTATAAAAGCTGTGGCTGCTACTCTACAATAGAAAACACACGAAACCATTCAAGAATTCTGAACATTCTAATGAGAGTGATTTAACTTATGTCTTAAAGACTCACTCTGGCAGGGTAGACTAGACTTGAGTAGAATCATAGGTAGATGAAGAGACCAGTGGCATGAGTGCAATGAACAAAAGGCAGTAACTATGACTTGCAGGGACAGGCTATGGGGAGATGTTGGTCAATGGTACAACATTTCAGTTACGCAAGGTAAGTTCTGGAGCTCTCATGTGCAGCAATGTGACTAGAGTCAAAAATCATCTATGGCTGAGATCGGATGGTAACACCACTGGGGTGGCAGAATTATGGTTCTATTTTGGAGGTATCAGATAAGACGACATGCTGCTAAAACACAGAGTATTTAAGAAATAAGAGTCAAGAATGACTGCAAAAGAATGGAGTTACTTCTTGGGATAGCAAGACTACAAAATGAACAGCCTTGGGAACACAAATCTTTTGTTTAACAGACATATTAAATGGGAAGTACCTATCATATACCCATGTGGAGATGTTCAAGAGAGTTTTTAAATATGAGTCTAAAGCTCTGTTTTAAGGAGAGCATAATCCTGAATAGGATTCGAGAGAGATGGAGACAGTGAAGAGGAAAGGGGTGAACATTCATGGTGATAAAATGTGTGCTAGAGTAGAATAAAACTGAGGAAGACTGGATATACAAGGTAAATTAAAAAGGAAAACAAGGATAAAAGCAAAAACAGAACTAGGGAACATTTAGGCTTAAGAGTATAAGAAATTAGTGAAAAAGGCAAAAAAAGTAGGCAAAGAATAAGAAATGTTCAATATCATAGAACTGAGGGAAGAATGCTAAGCATGAGGAAAGTCATCATGGAAGATACCTCTAGGAAAAGATGAACAAATCTGCCTATTGGATCTTAATGGTAAGTTTTTAACACAAAAGGGATGAAGAGTGTGTGGGTAAAGACATAATATAGAAAAGAGAGAAAAAAAGAAAGAAAATTATACACATAAATGAGGTTTATCCAGAAAAAGTCCAACTATTGTTAATATAACAAGAACAGTTTGTATGCCGCTGATGTAGCCAAGGAGAGTGGACTGGAATGCACATGTGTGAACAATGACAACTTCACTGTGACTAGTCAGTGGGGGCAGTAGATGCCATTGAGTGAGCATGTGTACTGTGTGGTTGTCAGATTCAAAATGACTGAGTGAGTAGAGCAACAAATCTGCATCAAATTTTGCATTAAGCTTGAACATTCCTCTGTAGAAGCTATTAAGGATGATTCAGAAGACACAGCTATGCACAACTGGTGATTGGCAGCTTCATCACGACAACTCTCCTGCTCATGCCTTACAGCTCATGCAGAGTCTTTTGGTGAAACATCAAATCACCCAGGTGACTCGGCCCCACTACAGCCCAGATTCGGCACCCTATGACTTCCGGCTTTTCCCAAAACTAAAATGACCTTTGAAAGGAAGAGATTTCAGACTGCTGATGAGATATTCAGGAAAATATGATGGAGCAGCTGATGGTGAGTCCAACAAAGGATTTTGCAGTGTTTTGAACAGTGGAAGAGATGCTGGGAGAACTGTGTGAGGTCCCAAGGTGCCTACTTTGAAGGGGACTGAGGCATCACTGTCCTATGTCCAAAGTTATCTTCTGCAAGAATTGTCTCTATTTTTCATATTACATGGCTGGATACCTTCTGGACAGACCTCATATGTGAAAATTCATTTTACTTTCTGGACTTAATATGTTAAAAATTTAAGACGTGAGATTAGAAGACAAACGGTCTTCCTCACTAACCAACTTAGAACAAAGTACACCCAGTGACAGGACTATCTGATCGGGTACTTCATGGCCTCATCTGTGTCTATGCCAGCATGAACATCTATTTGGTACTGAGTATCTCTACAAATCTAAGGGTGCCTTATGAGGAACACTCAGGATGCAATTTAAAATTGGATACTAGTGACGGAGTCCCAGGTATTAAGCCAGATTTCTCAATTACCTATAACTAAAATGCTGTCTTATTAACATCACATTCAATATTCATTTCTAGACTCAATTTCAGTCATAGATTAGTTCTGCTGCAAACAGTGGTAAAAAGCTACCTAATGAAATACCTTTCTATTTCAATTAATAGTAGATGATAATAAAATTAACTGATAATGGCACAAAATAAAAATGCTTACCTAGCATACGAATATACAATGCAGTCTGATCAGAACTGTCATAGGAAATAGCTCCACGTCTCTAAAAAAAAGACACACACATTTTAATGTATAACACACAGTACATAAAATTCATTTCAACAAATACGTATTTACTATTTGTGAAGCATAGTGGAAAAAAAAGCTGGATAGGTAAAATGAAATTAGATATAGCATCTGTTCCTGAAACCTATAGTCATAAGGTAGACAGACAACCCTAATACAATATGGTTAAGCACTACCATAGAAGTGGATTCAGAGGGAGGAACACGCAGTAGGTGGAAATTCCCTGCAAAGTATGTCAGATAAGCCCGCTTGGTGGGAGATCTTCAGAGGTAAACAGCACTAAAGAAGAGATATGGCTCAACTGCTTTACCATTCCCTTCCTTTAAATATGAATGAATAAGCAGATGAATAAGAATCATCAGTTATCTGAAGAAAGTTACTAGATAAAAATAAATGGAATAAAATAAAAAACCAAATGGCCCAGAAGCTAGCAAGAAATAAGAGAATTTAAAAAAGTAATGTCTGTACTCAAAGACATTTGTAAAGACACTGAATTTATTAAAAAATAAAAACAAGTTGCCACTGATAGAAAGACTTTAAAATATATTTTATGTTTAAAAATAAACAGGTATAAAAATGTATCTTGCAACATTATTCATAACAGCTCCATACTGGAAACAACCAAATGTCCATGAACTAATGAATGGATAGATAAAATGTAGTATAGCCACACACTGGAGTATTATCCACACATAAAAAGGGATGAAGTGCTGATACATGATACAACACGGATGAGCCTTAAGAACATTATGCTGAGTATAAGGAGCCAGCCACAAACCACCATACAGTATATGGTTCCATTTACATGAGATGTCCAAAACGGGCAAATCCATACTAACAGAAAGCACACTGATGGTTGCCTAGAGTTGGAAGAACTGGCAGGAAACGGAGAGTGAATGGGTACAGGGTTTCTATCTGCAGTGATGAAAATATTCTAAAATTAATTGTGGTCATGACTGCATAAATCTGAATATACTCAAAATCACTGAATTGTACACTTTAGATGGGTGAATTGTATAGTACGAGAATTATAAATCAATGAAGCTACTATAACTAAAAGCGAATACTGCAAATTTAAGATATAATTACTAAAACCAAAAGTTATAGGAGCTGAAACACCCTCAGCAACTTCTGCCAACTCTATCTTCACATTTATCACCCTTCTTCACCTGGTCGCCTGCAGTGGGTTGCTCTTGGTTTTCCTAATGCATCTCCTGGTCCCTAGTCCACTCTGTACACGGAAGCAAACGTGACCATTTGAACTACTGCTCAAAACCCCCCCGATGGCTCTCCGCTACACTTGGAATAAGGGCAACACCAAGCTCTGACTTCCAAAGGCCTCCACGGTCTGCCCGCCTCTCACGGTCTTCTCACCACCACCACCCAGCCTCCTCGGCCTCCTGCTCTTCCCCAACCTCACCAAATGTCCTGCCACTGCACTCGTCCTTTCCCCTGTCCGGGATCACTACATCCCTGTTCTTCTCATCTCTCAGGTTCTACATGAGGTGTCATCTCTTCAACAGCAGCACGCCCAGACGACCAAATCTGAAGTCACCTAAGAGTCACCCTCTTCCACAGCTGCACACCTTCATACACCGAGCTGATGTTACTTTGTCTCTTTGTTCCAAAACTAAAAACTCCACAAGAGCAAGAATTATTCACCACTGTACTCCTGGTCCCACAAAACACTAGCAATTATTTAGTACATTCTAAATAAATATCGGATAAATATCTGGTAAATGATTAAATGATTTCATTGCAAACAAATTAATGAACAGCACTGATATAAAGACAAATTAAAAACCTAGAAGATAAAATTAACCTAATCACCCACTAGCCACTACACACTGTAGAGGCAGAGACCTTGTTCACTGCCACAGCCCCAGACCTAGAAGAGATGCCAACATTCAGGATAGTGTCTAGTGCACCAATAGTGATAGTACTGTTGAATAAACAGGTTAGCAAGTTCTTTAAAAAATAGTAATAAACAGAACTAGTGCCAAGTGCTATTAATAAAGTAGTGTGGACACTACAAAGAAATATACAAAACAGTTGATACAAAATCGAGGATCAAATAAAAAAATATACAGTAATTCTGCATATGATACGTATAGGATTTAAAGTCTGTGGGGAAAATATTATTTAATTTTAAAAAATGTTAGATTAAGTAGTTGCTACCTGGAAAAATATAAAGCTCTATTATTACCCTCCCACTAAAATAAATTATATATGGAATAAAAACTTATATGTAAAAATTAATGCATAAAAATATTAGAAAAATATATGGACCTGACCAGGTAGCTCAGTTTGGAGTGCCATTCCAATACACCAAGGTTTCAGGTTCAAGGCCCAGTCAGGGCACATACAAGAATCAACCAATGAATGGATAAACAAGTAGAACAACAAATCAATGTCTGTCTCTGTCTCTGTCTCTCTCCCCATTTCCTCTCTCTCTTAAATCAGTAAATAAATTTTTTTAATATTAAAAAAGAGAAAAATGACCACATTAAAAATTCTTAAATAGGAAAGGCTAACTGTCCTATAAAATCCAGAAGTCGTGAGAGTGGATCACTCTGGCCACTTACAAGTTAAATTAGCCCTTGCTGGGTGGCGTGGTTGGAGTGTGGTCCTGTATACCAAAAGGTTTCAGGTTCAATCCCTGGTTGGGGCACGTACCTAGGTTGTGGATTCAATCCCGGGTTGGAGCACATAACTGGAGGTAAGTGATTAATGTTTCTCTCTCACAGCAATGTCTCTCTCTCTCTCTATGTCTCTCTCTCTCTCCCTCTCTTTCCTCCCCCCCCTTATCTTTGGGTGAGGGGTTTAAAAAAAGTTAAATTATATATGGTAAAATGTATCATAAACAAAGTGGCAAATCTCAAACCAAGAAAAATAAATTCAGCCCTGGCTGGTATGTCTCAATGGATTGAGCACCGGCCTGCAAACCAAAGGATCACCAGTTCAATTCCCAGTCACGGCACATGCCTGGGTTGCAGACCTGGTCCCCAGTGGGGGCGTGCCACAGGCACCCACACATTAATGTTTCTCTCCATCTCTTTCTACTTCCCTTCACCTCTTTAAAAATAAACAAATAAATAAGATCTTTAAAAAAAAAAAGAAAAATGAGTTCAACAGATGGCAATGGGCTAATTTCCCCCAACTTCAGTATAGCCTAAAAAGTGCCTCATAAATCAATTAGTAAATAATGAATAGCCAGTAAACAAGAAAAAATGTTTGACTTTATTAACAAAAGAAATACACATTAAAGCAGTGAGATCGCAGTTTACATATTAGACTAATGAACTTCTTCACTCACAAAACTCTGGTGTAAGACTTACAATTTGTCAGTGTTCATCTAGAAAATTTACTTAAAGCTCTTGCTTGGATTTAGTATGCAAAACAACTCCCAAATCATTATTATCTCTTTAATTCTTATCATTTAAATGAAAACTACCAATTAAATTCTTATAGGATTCCATGTATCCTTAAAACAAAAATACACAAAAAAGTTTATGAAATAAAAAAGAAACAAAAGTTTCAAAAAAAAATCTGATTTTTAACATTGGCTGCCTCTAAGAAGGAAGCAAAGAGACACAGAGGTAGGAGGACTTTCCAGTGTGTAGCTTTTGAACTTTGCAGCATGTATAGTTACATATTCACTAAATAAATCAAATTAAAAAGTCGAATAAGGATGTACTACAAAAAATACAAAGAAAAGCATGGTCTCAAACCCCAAGGGATTAAACAATACAGAACACACTCCTGGCAGCATCGTGCATAACACGTCTTTCCCCAACACCATGTCCTAAGGAAGCCTCCTGCAGTGTTTCATGGTGAACTATTTACTCTGCAGCAAACAGCCATTTTAATCACTGGTATGGAAAGACACCACTCACACCTGCTGTTCCAATCCTCACTCCGAAGATATTTAGCATATTGTATTACAGGCCTCCCTTAATACTACCATATTAGTGGAAAACCTTGAAGCCTGGAAAGCATATTATGTGGAAACAAATATTTCTATCAGCTAGGTCATACTACTAAGGCTACAGATAGTATTATGTAATAAATACCTTGTCATGTCAACATCTATCAACCTGCTAGTGCCCAATAATAACTTGGATAATAGCTTGTTAAAACAAATTTTAACCTGTTATCTCTAATAGCGTTCCCTAAGAAATGAGTTGACATTATTTTTTTAATGGAAGATAGGTACTTACTAAAACAGCCACAAATTAGGAAGGTAAAGCCTTATTTATCACTTCATGTATTACAGCTTGAGAAAGACTAACATCAGCTCTGTTAAATAAAATACTATAAGTAAAAAAAAAAATGAGTAATGAACATAGTATAGATTATAACTATGACATACTAAATTTATTTTAGGATAATCACTTTAGTCTATTTATAGAGGCATTAATCTGGATATTAAAATGATAGGGTTGGCATTAATCATAATAAAAACTTGGTAAAAAGGGTAGAATTTTAAACATATATCAACAAGTTATACAGAGATTGCAAAATATTCAAACTATTCTATTTATTACTGATTTGAGTAATTATGGTCTGCAAATACCTAGCTTAAATGCTATATACTAAACGACAAGACACAAGTCTTATAAAATAAATCCAAATGAGAAAAAATATTTTTTTAAGAATGGATTTAAAGGGTATGTATCCGAACACATTAATGAATAAATCCTGAGTGATGATTCAGTTCATTCATTCGTCACCTCATGGACCAAGATTAAAATGAGTATTAAACTCTCTCTAAGCAATCTAAGAATATTCTAAAGTAACTAATTTTGGAAAAAATACTATAAATTATAATTGTAACAATAAAAATTTGATTTCCATGTTAGTATTTTAAAAAAACTTTGTATGTGCTTTATACACCAACACTGCAGCATAGACTTAACATAATCTTTAATGTTACCATTTTAAATGCCTTATTCTAGTAAAATCCTATTTTTAATA